TATTTTATTACAAAAAGTGTAACCTCATTTTTTATCAATGTTCACATTAACAATAATATACATGTAAATGTATTTTATAGGAGTCGAAGAAGTATCAACACCATATTTTATTGAGAAATCTATTACTAATAAAGTTTTTCTATTAAAACATGCAGAAGCAGTAAAACAATTCAATATTCAAAATATTTCAAATAATTATTTTGATCAAGTATAGAATTAAAAAGTTTTGTCATATATAATTATATATAATTATTTATTTAATTAAACCATTCATCCATTTGTTCATTTAGGGTGAATTTGATCGTTGGCGAATAACAATGAAAGTTGCCAAGTTACGAATGCCTTCTTTTGAAGATATTCAAAAGAAACAGTTACAGATAAAAGATGCAAATGAACATAATCTTACACATCAGGAAGTTGATGAAATGGTTAAAATCAAGAAAGAATTGAGGAATTCTACATTTTTGTTAGAAAAATCTGAATCATCATCACCTTTACAAAAAGAATCATCATTGTCATCAATAAAACAACAAGAAGGAAAAAATCTCAAATCAATTGATATATTTAATAAGACATTGCCAATTTTAGAAACTGGTAGAATTGCTGTTAAAAAAAGAAGTTATTTAGAGGAAATGGAAGAACAACAAAGAGAAGAGGAAAGGAGAAAAAGAAGATTAAGAGGTAGATATATATTTTATTAATTATTGATTATTTATTTATCCAATCACTAATAATAATAAATCATTCATCTAATAATTAATTTTATACATATGTATATATAATTTTTACTAATTAACTAATTATATGACAAAAAAAAATCAAGAAAAAATACCCAGGAAAAATTTGGATTCAATATTACATGATGATACACTTAATATAAAACTTGAACCGACAGATCCTAATTATAGGTTTCAAAAAGCCATCAATAGAAAGATGAAAAAACTAGAAACATTACTTTATAGTGCTGATATTGATATGAGACTTGTACCTGATCCTAGATATGAAATAGTTAGAGAATTTGTAGAAACAGAATATGAAAAAAAATATGAAAATTTTCGAAGAACAGTCCTACCACCTTTACCAAGTTCTGCTTATAATAATAATCATTATGATGTTGGTGAACAAATAGAATTTTGATTAATCTTTTCTATGTGCTTGTTGGTATTTTTCATAATCTGTTTAATATAATATTATTATAAAAAAATTTCAGGATTGAATATTTATTTCCTTATTTCATAATGATAATAATTAACTTTCAATTCCGAAATAACCAATTCACCTTTCTAATAAATTTGTAATTAAATATTTTGCCGGCCCAATTTTAAACTGAATTTAAATAAAACTGTAAAATCGGATTTAAATAAAACCACAAACCAGGACCTTGGTCTAAAAAACTGAATAATCCAATTGAAAACAGTTATTTATATTACATACAAAACTCATGTCGGAGTTTAAATCACCAAGCTTGAGCACAAATTTGGCATTCAATTGAAAAATAATGAAACAAAATAATTTAATTTAGAACTTGAATTAGGTAGATTTAAATCAAGAAATTTAATTTATACATTTTATTGTTTTTATATACTTTAGTACATTAGATCATCATTATTTATTTATTAAGATTTAAATAATCAAAGTTTTTATTTTTGAAATCGTAGAGATCTGCAATTTTAGATCACGTGAATTTGTTATAGAGAGTGTTGATTTATATTGCGAGTGTCAATCTGAGTTACCTAGTTATTAGGCAAGTTTTAATATCAACACATGTCTGATTTTCCTAGAACCTCCAATTTATAGTCGATTTGTTATCTTACAACCCTAAGTCTGGATAGCTTCCCTATGGCACATGTCTAGTTTTCCAAATTTATAACCAAAAACTCTTTTGTCATACAACCCTAAGTCTGGACAAAGATCCTTTTCTATTGGTGTAGCTGGTATATTCCAAAGGCATCCTCTTGAGGTATGACTTAATAATTAAAATCCTGAATTTTCCCTGCAATCAGCAAAGGCTTCTCTCTACCAGTTTATTTTATCTATTATTCCGATAGTATTATTAAAAAGAATTTTTGTATAAAGTTACAAGGTTTTTAACAAAATTCCCTTTTTTAACTCATTTATTTTTTGAAATCTTGGACCCAGTGACCCAGCTTTTAGAATATTGTTGAGTAAATGTGGCAAATAAACAGTATAAGGTGTTAACAGTTAGTTTTTGTGTTTTATCCAAAAAAATTAAAAATATATTTTAAAAAACAAATTCCTAGTGCATAACTTTCTTTGATTTTAAAAATAACACACTTTGAACAATTTGACTGATTATTAGTGATTATTGAGTGATTACAAAAGAAAAAATTGAATAGCATTTATTTCAATTATTATAATTTAAAATTTTTTTTTGTTTACATATTATGGAAGCATCACATAAACTCATTTGCAACATATATGAATTGATCAATGAGGGGGTCAAATTTTTCCAGAATCGATTCCATATTGAGTAAAATACCTGACTGTAATTTGTATAAAATTTCATAATTTACATGTCACGTGAATCCGCTGTAGAAAGACCCATCCCCATCAAAAATCCGTTAACGTTGTGGAATAAATTTATTAATATGACAATATTTAAATCCGCTGCGGCGAGTTCCGCTGTGACGAGGTTTGACTGTACATAATTATCACCATTTTCCCTCTTTAAAGACGTAATTACGAAATTAATTACGTATTACAGGCGACGAAATTAATTACGGGTGGAGTTTGGATCCGGGGGAGGAGCAAAAAGTTAAACCAAAGAAGACACTATTGTTGTTGTTTTTGACGAGGCCCAATTTAATGATGCGGGCTATCAGTCTCTCCAATTCGAAATGATTAAGGCAGGTTATAATTGTTTAATAATGTCAGCTACTTTTCCAGGTGCTGACTTCCTCTTATTCAATGAAAAGAGTATTCGGTGGCAAATTGGATCCTACCGTGCCAGCCGGTTTAAAATCTTTTTCACTTTTTTTACATTGATAAGATGATACTTGGTCTTTTTAATAAGATCTTCCTAAATAAACCGTGCTTTTGGCCAATAGTTCACAAAACAAGCACTTTTTTGAACCAAGTATTTTTTTTCTTTTCTGAAAGGTCTAACTCTTTAATACACCTAATGCTATAAGCCGGTCCTGTTAAAATTAAAATGAATGAATACCCACCTACCCAACTGTCAGTTATCTTTCCAAATTTGGAAATCAAAATTGGAGTGATACATGTACCTTTGTACTTTTGAAGAAAAAATTTCCTATTATAATAATTGTAATAATATTATGCACATTCAGATTTCAATTTCACATAATTTCGATTTCAAATTGAGGACTTGATATTAATTATTAGTATTAAAATGCGTTCAAAAAACCCTAAAAATCTTTCACTATCTTTACATAATTCAGATATAATATCTGAAGTAGAAAATCAACAGCAACAAACATTTAATAAAAATAAAAAATTTAAACAACTTTTAATATTAGGAGGTTTTTTATTAATAATGATAACAATAATAAATATTTATTATTTTTATATTTCAAATTTACAACAGCAAGAAAATTATAATTATAATAATGAGATTAATGATATTTATTCATTTAATTTAATTTTACCAAATCCTCCAAAACCTGAATTAAAAGATTTAATTATAATACCAGGTCATTCAATTTATCTAGGAGGAAGAGTTAGTAATGGCAATATCAAAGATGATTTAGAAGATTTGGACAATTGGATTTTAGAAGATTATCAAAGAAATATTGATCATGTTAAAACTTTTATGAAACACATTGAAAGAGGATTGGAATTGCTTGGTAAAAATAATGAATCTTTGCTAATTTTTAGTGGGTAAATGTTTAATACATTAGCAAATTGTTTTATATGCATATATATAATTTATCTTTATATAGTAAATAAATCATTATAAATATATTATTTAATAAGTGGTCAAACAAGGTTTACAGCAGGTCCAAAGACAGAATCACAAAGTTATTGGGTAAAAATTTAGGAAATGAAAAAATATTATTATTGTTATTATTATTATTGTTGTTGTTATTTAACAATTGATTTTATTTATTGGTTTAGGAAATTGCTAGAATAATTTACAAAAATAATAATTTCAATAATGATGATGATAATTATTATTATTCATTATTTTCTCGGATTACAACTGAGGAATATGCAAAAGATTCATATGAAAATTTAATATTTTCTATATGTAGATTTTATGAATTCACAGGAAATTATCCAAATAAAATTACAATAATAGGATTTAAATTTAAATCTACAAGATTTATTAATTTACATAGGCTTGCAATTAAATTTCCATTAGAAAGGTTTAACTATATTGGGATTGATCCTGAGAACAATTTATTAGATTCAGAGGCTGGTGAGGTAATCAATTAATAACTTTGATTATATTATATTTATATTTATATTCAGAATCAACTAAAATATATATTATATATAAGAATATAAATTCTTTGATACCATTTCAAAAAGACTTATATGGATGTCATGATAAATTACAGAAGAAAAAATTATTGAGAAATCCATTTAGAAGAAGGTAAAAGTTTAAAAATTATATATTTATTTATAATTTAATAATAATAGTTATTATTTATATTTAATTATTATCATAAATGATTCATTGCTTCAATTTTTTTATAATAGTCATTCATATCATATTACAAATCCAAAACTTTCATCTTTATTAAATTATTGTCCAAAAAATTATTCAAATTTATTTTTCTACAAATTACCTTGGGAATAAATAATAATATATAATAGATAGAATAATAAATCAACAATATCAAATAAATAAATAATGAAATTTACAATCTTAATAAAAAAAAAAGTAATTTACAAAAAAAAATAATATTAGTAATAATAAAAATTTAAAATTTTATGTATTATAATAAGATGGACAAGGATTATTTATATTTGGTGAATAGACTTGATTATATTGAGCTGATGGTGGATAAAAATTATTTTGTGGTGGTGGAGGCTGTTGTTGCTGTGGGGGGTAACCTCCTAAATAATTATTTTGTGGTTGTTGATATTGATAAGTTCCAAAAGTCGGATTACCAGTTGGAGCAGGATTAGGATTTGGAATAGGGATAGGAATAGGAAATGATTCATTAAGTATTGATGAATTAGATCTTACTGTTGATGTTGGTGATTGTGATGAAAAATTTTGGGAATAACCACCATTTTGAAAAGAATTATTATTTGGAGGATAATTTTGTGAGGTTTGAGGATATTGGCCATTATTATTATTATTATTAAGTAACAATGATTGCTGTTGTTGAATAGATGGCGGTGAAATATATTGAATATATTGCATAGGGTTTTGTTGTTGTGGTTGTGGTGGCAGTGATGATCTCAAATTCATTGGTGGATAGGTTGGTGATGTATTAGTTGGATAAGTTGGATTATTTAATGAAATTGGTACATATTGATTATTAATGATTGGTGGAGGATATTGATTATTGATATTAGTATGAATATACTGATTACTATTATAATTAAGTGGAGAAGAGTATTGGTTATTGTCAAATTGAAGAGGATATTGATTGCTGTTATTGTTATTAATTTGGGGAAAATGTTGATTGTTGTTATTGTTATTAATTTGGGGAATATATTGATTGCTATTATTAGTATTATTAGTATTGATTTGAAGAGGATATTGATTGTTGTTGTTAATATTATTGTTTGGAGGAATAGATGGAATGCTATTATTATTGTTCAATGATGATGAAATATATTGAGTGCTATTCATTAAAGGAACAGGTTGATTACTATAATTGTTATTGATTAAAGGTTGAGATGTTGTTGGTTGATCAATAGAGGGTGGTGGTGATGGTGATGGCGATGGTGATGGCGATGGCGATGGCGATGGCGATGGTGATGGTCCTTTTTTTTTAAAAGATTTGTATTGTGGTGGTGCTGAAACTCCTGTTGTGTAAAATGTCATTTCAAGACGAATTTCTCCTACATATTTATTACGATATCTAATTTCATGCCACTCTAATAATAAATCAAAGAAAATTTTATAAATATATAATAAATATATATAATATGTGACAATTTAACAATTACCATCCCATTCACCATTAGTGAGGACTTTATCTAGATCAATAGTTGTGTCTCCAATAAGTTTATCACTAAAAACTTTAACTATCATCTTTTTGTGGTGTGAAACATCGAAAAGCTCAAAACGAACTTCTTTATCCCATTCTGGACGCTGCCCTCCTTTTTTATGTGGTGGTATTTTTTCTTCTTTATCTCCTATACGAAATGTTGCATAAGGATTTCCTTTACCAAATACTTCACGAGATATTAAATTTCTCTTTTAAAAAAATAGGTTTTTTAGATTGTGAAAATCAAAATAAATTTTAATATTAACAAAGAAAGATAACTTACAGCTCTTACAGCTATAACTACAAGTGTTCCTAATTTCTTTGCAGACATTTTTGTATTATAAAAAAATTTTTTTTTAATGGGTAAAATGTAGATTAAGACTGATATTTATTTAGCATAGCAGGAGACCTTAACATAACGGAATTTTCAAATGTCGATTCATTTTCCAAAAATTGTTACACAATTACTACAATAATCATCCTATTAAAAAAAATTTTTTTTCCATAGGCACGTAAATTTCAAGTTTCTTTATCATACTCCATGTCCTGATCAAACCTGATCAAACGTTTTCCAATAGCAATATTATGAATGAATTTTATAATAAAGAGGTTTAGAATATATATAATAATAATATATGTATATATTTTAATAACATGTACGGAATTTAAACATTAAAAAGAATCAGCAAACTTAACAGTATATAAAAGAAACAAGGAACCTGATAATATTACAGGTAAGTTAAATTAAAAATATTATTTACAAATTCAATTTTTACAAAAAATTAAGAATTGAACTTAAAAAGTTAACTTTTTTTTTGGTATAATATGAAACTGTTTAGAGGTAAATGCAACATGTCATTTTTATCATTTTAAATAATATAACACATATAACATAATATGTAGATGGGCATATTGCTAAATATTTATTACTACATAGGTAGACTCGATAAGTCGGCTTTGGCCTAACTCGGCCAAAATTTGTCAGCCCTTTTTTTCCCTATTTAAAATCCCTTGATAAGTCAGCCAACCTATATAAAGTCGCGTTAAGTTGTAAGTCAGCCAATCCCTCTTTTTAGGATAAGTCATCCTCACGTGACATTTTCATCAAATAAAAGATCATCATTACTACTTTTAGTAACGTATGATTTTTTTTTATTTATTTATAGAAATTTTATGACTTGTCACGATATTTTATTAATTCATTTTTGTATCATCATTGATTGTATAATAATAATTTATTGCCTGATAATTTAGAAAGAATATTCTTGTTTGTATTGCGCAAAATACATTTATTTATTTAGAAAAAAAATTTTTTTCTGTTTTATTATTTATTTTGTTAATTTTATAATAATAAAATTCAAAAAAAAAATATGTCACGTGCTCTCTCTGTAAGACAGTCTCGATAAGTCAGCCAAACATACTCAGCCATTCGCGGCTGACTTATCGAGTTTACCTATGTATAAATTCATCAAAATAGAAGATTTCTTTTAAAGATTAAATTGCCTCGAACGTAATTGGCGCATTAAAAGCATAACATGCGAATAAGAACGAAATAGTAATGGGAATAATAAAATCATTCTCACGTGTATGTATTAATATTGAATTTTTTAATTCTGTTCACATTATACAGTTATTATTATTGTATACGATTGATAAAAATCAAAACAAAATTTTGCCTAATAAAAATCTGGCCAATAAACTTAATTAAATTTGTCGATAAATAAAACGAATTTTTGTTATAATAATAACGAAGTTTTTATAGTTTCCTCATTTTATTAATAAAATCAACTCAATAAGACGAATGTTTCTATTGTTTCACTTAAATGATTAAGATATGGTTCCACATATATTAAATATAACTTGATAAGACGAATAATATCGCTTTACAGTCAAACCTTGTCACAGCGGATGAACGGGACATATAAGAAAATTTATTTAAAATCCGTTGTGGCAAGATTACTAATCTTGCCACAACGGATTTTTATATGTTTTTATATGTGAAGTAAGAATTTTAAAAATCCGCCATGACAAGAATTTAATTATAATCCGCTGTGACAAGGTTTGACTGTATCATGGAGCGCCGAACAGGTCAAAAGGTTAAGTAAATGTCACAATTAACTATGGCATTTACTTAACCTTTGACCTGTTCGGCGCGCCACCTAAAGAAACTTCGCTTTATGTATAATTTTATAAATGATTTACCATAGTACAACATAGAGGTCTGCACGGGTCATCATAATTGAATGGTTACCCAACCCAAATTCGTATAATGATAATAAAAATTGGGACTCGATTCTCAGTTCGTTATAGAGTGTGGACCGTTATAAAGAGTGTGACCTGTATTGACGTTTATAGATGACGTGCACCATAACATTTTTTAACTCGAATTTTTTTTTTATATATTTAATACTGTAATATGTAGTATGGTTAGATAATTCTATGAGAGATCTTTCTATAAATCAGCAAAAGCAGAAAACAGCTATTTTAACTTTCCTCGAAATAAACATTTATTATTATATATAACGTTAATAACATTTTTTTTTACTCAGTTTTTTCATATATTTAATACAGTGCGGATCATCTATACTCAAAAGTTAAAATTTTTGAAATATTATATGATCCACACATTGGATTTTTAAAAAACCCACCACCATTCAATTCAATTTTGAAAAGGGTGTCTATTAATCTAAAAAAAAATTTGTCTCAAATTTTCTTTTCATAGATTTTTTAAAGTGCAACAATAATTTTCGTGTTTTGAATCTCACGACTAAATTTGGTAATGATTTTCTTTTAATGTAATATGTTCGTTACTTTTTTTTGTTGTAAAGAACTTTTATTATTAATAAAAAAAAAAAAAAAGGAAATAAATAAATCAAATGCATGTTGTAGAAAATATTCTATGAAAAAAAAAAGTTGTTCGTGTGGGCGGATTTGATTGACTCATTTCAATAAGTAAATTATGTGATACCTTGATAAAAATGTTATTTAACATATGATTATCCTATTAATTTTACCACAGAAATTTTTTTTCATTTCATTGCGACCAGAGTTAAGTTGGAGTTAAATCGGTTTTAAAATTGATTTTAAATTGGTTCTTACATTGCTTTAAAAGTCTTTTTTGAACTTTAATTTCCAAAACGACATAAGTAAAAACAATATTTTTATTAAAAAAAATAATAAAATACTTTATTTGAGATGTTTTATATAACTATTTATAATACATATACACTGCCCTCCAAAAAGTATTCGGACGATGTTTTTCGATGATTACGCAAAATTCCACATAACGAAAGTGCATAAAATTTGTGTCATTGTATGGCTTAGTTCTGACGATTCTACATATAAATTATAAAATTTTATTTTAATGGTGATCATTTCAAATTTTTTAATTTTTTAAAAAAAATATCAATATTCCGTTGGCCACCCGTTATTAGAAATACATGCTTCAATCCTTCTCGGCATACTTTCAATAAGGTTATTTAATACATTCTGAGGGATTTGAGACCATTCTTCTTTCATTGCAACCTCCAATTC